GAAGTTTTTTACCCAAATGTTGGACCTCAATCTGTACTTTTACTAGACTCTTGGAGTGGACATTGCGATAAAGCTGTAAGGGAAACGATGCCGACAAACAAAATTGTTAATATAAAAAAAATTCCCACAGGAACGACAGGGAACATCCAACCACTCGATGTTTATGGATTTCGTATCTCGAAAAACTTCGTTCGACGTTTATTAGATCAAGTAATTTTGATGGACTATGAAATGAATCTACATTTAAGAAATAACATCATAAAAATGCAGTCTCTTGTCCATAACGAGCTTTCTTCACCAAGATATACAAATATTTTTAAATACGCTTAGTATAAAAGCGGCTATATTGCTGAAAAACCAGCTAAAACAGATAACCCTGTTGATTTTAGTTTTGGAGATTCTTGCAATATACATTGCGAAGTAGAAGCATGTAAAAATGTTGCTATAATACGGTGTGGTTGGTGTAAAAGATCATTATGTTTCAAACACTTTTTTGATGATTATCATTTGTATAAGGAATTCGTTGAATGATACATTTTAATTTACCAATAAATAAAAAAAAGAAAAAGATGAAAATTATTATGAAAAATTAAAATACATGTAGTATCGCGTACGCGGGCTCTTACGAAAATATATTTATGTATCTACATACGAATATAAATATATATGTATAGATCTATAAATGATAATTAGGTCTCGTGTTATTCTCGTGTTTATTTTTAAGAGGTATTTCTCGCAATTTTGGTACTATTAAAATAAAATGTATTAAACATATTTTTATTTATCATAAATTATGTTTGAGCTACAGATATATTTTATCAAAAAAGAATGGGATACCCCACGTACGGTGTAGAAATCAATTATTTTAAGAAAAAGCAACTGATAAACTCAATTCTCCCAAAGTTAGGCCTATTAGCCTACATTTGGTTGGGAAGGGTGGTTTATGGGGATTTGGTGGGTTAGAGGCAGGTTGGTTAGTTGACGTAGCTCGCTCAGGCGTAGGATTAAATTATTTCAGGAAATAACAAACGACTAAACTTGTTTATCCCAGGGTTAGGTGGATTAACCTGCTGATAGTTTGACGGGGATGGTTTCTAGGGAGTGAAACACCCCTTAAATATATTTTTTTTTAAATCCGAAAACACGTCAATTTAATTTTGACATTTTCTCATTATCAGTGCGATTTTTGAATCACTCGAGCTGATTTACTATATTATGTGGTAAATCTATGTCGTAAAATAGTACAAAAAATAGTGTATTTACCCCTATTAAAAAGGGAATTGCAACCCTTCGGTATATATGTTATGTCCTTAAAAGCGCCTTTTTATAAGAAATTTTTTAATGTTGAGTTTACTGAAAAATATTCATTTGATGCTGAGAAATATTTAAAAAACTGATTTTAGGGGTTGATTTTCAGGGTGGATTTCACCCCTTAAAAGCCCTTATGGGCCGATAAAAAAAACACTTATTTAATTTTTTTTTCAAGTACTACAACATATCCCAAAATCATTCAAATCGGTGACGTCGGGTTGGGGTGGTTCCGTTGTTAGACTATCTTTCCGATCATCGGAGAAGTCAGCTTTTCGGCGTATATTATTCGCTGCAGCTCTCTCTCTCTGTCTCTCTCTTTCTCTCCCTCTCTCTCTCGGAATACTTATTCTGGTCAGGGACATCAAATTAGCTCACAATCCAGGTATTCATTTCGCGTTGCGGTTCAAAAATAGGAGTCGGTTCGGTTGCAACGCGTACGTATACTCGAGAGTTCTCTCTTAGGCTGACTTTTTCTATCTCTGTCTGTCTCTCTTCGTACACGGCGCGTAACCTCCCTTCATGGCTGGTGCGTGCTGCCCCTACAGGTAGTCCGCCTGACGAGATGAGTGCGCGGATATAACGTTCATCGTTACAGTACTTAAAGTACTAATTGACGTAAAAAAAGATCATTCTCATACTTGTGACGGGGCCCTGACTAGAATAGCTGGCCCTGTCTGGCTCTCTCTCTCTCTCTCTTTCTCTCTCTCTCACTCGCAACCTCGCTCCTTCGCTGTTGCCCTGGCGAGCGTTGGAAAATTACGAAACGATACCGATGCTCGCACCGCTTCATTTCAGGACCGATACCTGAGTCGGGTATCGTCATTAGGAGCCAATTGGGAGCGAGAGCGGATGCAGCAAAAAGAAGAGAAAGAGAATGACGCGTCGCGAGTAGAGAGTAAGTGAGCGCGAGTGATCCGCGGCGATCCGCTCGCGAGAGCGAAGCCGCCGGCGTTGCTCGAGCCGACGTGCGAATGATTAGGGGAGAGAGTTCGAGCCGAGATTCAGAGTTAGACGGATCGTTTGACGGCCGAGCGTTCGCACGTGAAAGAGAGCTATACCGACAAAGAAAGCAGGGGACGACGAGCAGATTGCAACACGGAAAGAGGACTTCCAACGACTCTAGCATCGTAGGATCCACATCCGAGCCTGCCACGAGCCTGCAGTATTTCCTGTCTGCAGCGGAATTACCAGCAACAGTTCCTGCCAGCAGCCTTCACCAGAACAGGTCGTCTCTCTCTCTCTCTCTCTCTCTTTCTCTCTATATTCGCGAGTGCGCGACGCGTCGGCATTGAGGACGACGCGTGAACTCGCGTTGTCGCTCTTTATTGTTAAACGTCCAGAGTAAATATTGTTAACAGTTATCGTGAGTGATTATTGTGTGCGCCTGTCATTCCTTTCCACTCAAACCGAAGCCCAAAACGCCAATTTAGTGACGAGGCCCATCGTCATCGTTCAGAGTAGCGAAAGAGCCTCCCTTACCTTCCCCTTTAAAAATAATTTGTGATACGACGTTTGGGCACGGGCTCTTGCATAGCTCGTGGGAATTACCATTCCCCAAAACACGTTAGATTTTTAATCATCAGTGTCACATAGTGAAGAAATAAAACGTTTCTTTTTCAAAAGATAAGTTAGGTAATTAGATAATCTTAAAAATAGAAGTGGTTTTTCATCGAGACAAATGAAAAACATTACAATTTTCATACGTTGTTTAAAAGCTGTTTCTAAAAATTATCGTGAGCATAGGACGGCAAACTGCATTTTTTAATAATTTATACAAATTTCGCAGTTTTGAATTTGATGTTGAAAAAGGTTGTCAGATTTACCAACCCGGTTGGATTTATCCCACTTTACCCATATCAATATACAGGGTGGCCCATTTTAAGTGATCCACTTAGATATCTAGATTGGAGTGAGTTTTATCGAAAAAAGTTTCAGACAAAAGTTACTCAACTTTGAGGGGGCCATGTTTCTATGACCTTGAATTTGACCTTGGAGGTCATGTTCAAGGTCATTTCAAGGTCAACTTTGTTTTTTTAAATAGGAACCCCCATTTTTGACCCCGGATTCGGAAAGAGCGGGAAATTTTACGTCCAAAACGGTATTTTTAAATTTTTTTTCATGGCCTTGAGAAGGTCGATTTAAGGTCAAATGCTTGAAAAACTGCATAAAAGCGTTTTTTTAATTTTTAAGATATCGAAAAATGACCTCTACAAAATTTGTTCAGAACAGAGTGGGCCACCCAATGCACCAAAAACCTTTGACCTTTAACCTCATTTTGAAGGTCATTTCAAGGTCGAAGTGTTTTTTGTAATGGAAATCCCTCTTTTTAACCCCGGATACGCACATAGCGCGAAATCCGACGTTTGGATAAGGTATTGTGTTGAGTTTCGCGCTATGTGCGAATCCGGGGTCAAAAAGAGGGGTTTCCATTACAAAAAACACTTCGACCTTGAAATGACCTTCAAAATGAGGTTAAAGATCAAAGGTTTTTGGTGCATTGGGTGGCCCACTCTGTTCTGAACAAATTTTGTAGAGGTCATTTTTCGATATCTTAAAAATTAAAAAAACGCTTTTAGGCAGTTTTTCAAGCATTTGACCTTAAATCGACCTTCTCTAGGCCATGAAAAAAAATTTAAAAATACGGTTTTGGACGTAAAATTTCCCGCTCTTTCCGAATCCGGGGTCAAAAATGGGGGTTCCTATTTAAAAAAACAAAGTTGACCTTGAAATGACCTTGAACATGACTCGGGGTCAAAAATGGGGGTTCCTATTTAAAAAAACAAAGTTGACCTTGAAATGACCTTGAACATGACCTCCAAGGTCAAATTCAAAGTCATAGAAACATGGCCCCCTCAAAGTTGAGTAACTTTTGTCTGAAACTTTTTTCGATAAAACTCACTCCAATCTAGATATCTGAGTGGATCACTTAAAATGGGCCACCCTGTATATTAAATTTGTGTAAATGAATAAAAAAATTGTATTTCGTGAAAGATGAAATCTTAGGTGAAAAATGAGTGTTCTTACTCCGAATATTCGATTTCATTCGAGTTAATGCTTATACCTTTTATAATAACAAGTGAAACTCCTTTTTTACTTTATGTCGCTATTTCTCTTAAACTTTTCAGTCGTTAAAACTCTATGTTTACAACCAGCCTTCCCCACCACGTTTGGAAGACCATGTTATGAGCCTGTTCATAATGACTGGACTTACAATTTAAGATGAAATCTGAAACACTAAGAGCAATTGTAACTTGCACATGGAAATTTCATTTTTGATAAATTTTCAAATACCTCACGCTTGAGTAAATTAAAAAGGCGCTATATATTCCTGATATGGTAAGAAATAATTTAGGTCGAAAATGCAAAATTGTTTCATAATCATGCATATTTGTAAAATGTGTATTCACGTTTATATATTTTTTATTTAAAAAAATATTTAGACTGATTTGAAATGAATAATTTCTAAGAATTATAATAAAATCATGAAACAGAACAATCAATAAATAATATTCATCGATCCAATTTCTATCCGCAAAACTAACTCTCCTTACAACTAAATTGAACAGCAAGGTGAAAAAACAACTAGTTTTACTAATAACAAAATAGATATCCAGAATGACTAAATATACACCCGTATATATAAGGGATAGGTAAGCATAATGAACTAGTAAAATGCTCTTTAGTTTATATATGTATATTGATATCACGGATGAGTTTTATTTATAATTACGAAAATTGCATATAATTCGTTGAAAACGTTTCCGCTACTCTGATCTACACAAAACTGATTTCGGTGTATATGAGAAAACTTTTGTCAAATAAGTCTCAGATTCTCTTTGGTAGAAGGTCAATTATATATTTTGATAGCTTTTTCTAGATAGTTTATTCTTGATCTCTTAGGTGCTTTATTAACATGCTCCAATCCAAGCCACGGTTTTTGAGATATATTACCAGTATTAGAGAGTGGGAAAACTGAAAAATAATAAATTAACATTATTACTATTTATATCTTACATGCAGGCAAAGGAAAAATGTAATGGTGAATTTACAAGTTATAACATTAATTAGCAAGCATATTTGCACATAGACGAATACATATATTACCTTAAAATTTATAAACATTCAACTTTTCTTCCTATAACGCTAATTAGTATAATATCATTATAGTAGTCTGTTTCAGAAATACCGACATGAAAAAATCGACTGTGCAAGTCGCTAACCAAACGAATTATAACATCGATGATGACATCATATATAAAATTGTATTTTAGCGGCTATAAATGCGAAATCTTGATAAATAATAACACATGAAGAGCGAAAAATCAAGTAAATTTTTCACGAAAATCGCGATCTTAACACCGGTAAATCATGTTTTAACGAAATAAAACCAGAGATACGGAGAAATATCTCATGTCTTATGCGTATATGTGGGGATGATGGTGAAAGGGATGTATGTGTGATAGATAGGAATGAGTAATAAGCGTAAAATGAAAGTACAAGGAGTAGCAATTTATTTTTTAACTACAACTCGGAAGCATGCTTTTACACTAAGCAGAGGCTAACAAACAACTGATGATCTTGCCCTCAACCTTCGAGGATCTCCCGTTGCAAGTTCGGAGTCGCTCTCGACATTCAACACATGGCGACAAAACTGCCCACGCTATCTAAAATTCCAAAGGTCATTGCCGTCACAACTCACACCACAAACTTAACGATCGCCGCAAACAATCATGCCAAACCGATTTCTCTTGTGCACACAGTCTTACTCTCATCTCTCGTTGCATTACCAACCCCACATATATGTGAATATGTAGGAACTTATTTATGATTCTATTTACGCATATATGTCGAAAAAATGCTCTTTTATGAATTCATTATTTTACAAATAAATTATTTAATAAATATCCGATTTAACTCGTTACATGTCTTATGTTAGAGATTATACATAACAACATTAATATTATGATGAATAAAAAAGTTTTAACGTAAGTTTAAACTCGTTGATATGTGACGGACTACATGTGTGTGTGTGTGTGTGTGCGTTTGTATATATATATATATATATACGCACAGAGTTCGCCTGCTACTTTCGCTGCATCAAAGTCAAGACCATTGCGATAAGATGTTATAATCAGCAGAACATGTGTGCACGTTGGAAAAAGACAGTGTGAGAAGGAATGAATGAGAAGGATCAAATACGCGGTGCAGCCATAGCATGCTGAAGTCAGCATGCAAACCGGGACACAGGTAGTGATTAGAAAAGCGTAAGAAAGAGAGAGAGAGTGTGTGTGAAGAAAAGGAAGTGTGAAACGAAGTGTATGCGGCAGTAGCAAGAGGCAGGATTGAGTCTGTAAGAAGTGAGCGCCTAATTAGTAAGGCTGCATTTTTATTTCCTCTGACATTAATTTCGTTCCGCATAATCACACACACACACACATGCGCGCGCGCGCAATATTGGATATAATATATCGAACCTATTGCATTCAATATACGAAGTATTGAGTTATAATACATTAGACCGATAATTAATTAATACGGACCTTGTTCTTTTAGATTATTAAATTAATAATTTCCGATTTATATGTATTACTGACAAGAAATAAAACGCCAATTTCCGATATATCCACTGTTACGTTCCAACCAAGCCAGATGTTGGACGCTGAAATGTTACCGACACAGCAGTTTGTGTGCGACTTTCAGTCTTTCTCACGCAAACGGGTAACTGCGAAGTTCCTTGCTCTCGGCAGCTTCGGTACAGGTCGATCTCCAGACGAAATGTGCATATATGTCAATGTCGTTTTCCGCAGAGAGTGAGAGACACGTATAATCTTCAGCCTAATATACACTTTTGACAAAAGCACATCGCGAAAATGGGAGAGAGACAGTTCTCCTTTCTTACGTTCTTGCAAGCGTTGCTGAATAGGATAAAGAACGACTCGCGCAGCTAAATGAGCAATTAGCCCAAGGGCCGGTGACATTAGTTATCACGCCAGTAGGCGGGTCATTGCTGGCTTTTTTTCGATTACGGAAAAGATTGGACATACACTCCTTGACCGCGAATGAAACCATAACGAGATGCGTGAAACGTTTAACTCTTTTGTAAGATTAACAGTGTGGTAGTAATAAAGATATCAATACCATCAAAAATCAGTGAAGTTACAACTCGAACCGAAACATTCCGTCAATCCCTTTAGACTTGTGAAATGTAACTGGCTGTGAGCGGTGCTTTAGGTATATTTTACTATTCGTAGGAGAATCTACAATTCAAAGGTGGCGAAGAGTAACCTGTCATGACAGGTTTTTCCGTTCGATCATTTTGCCTAGCTTCGCTCGCTCTAGATCGACTTTTCTAGTAAATTGCCGTAATATTCTAGATTAGAAAGGGAAAGTAAATATTTCGTAAATTTCGGACGTAACATTCATGTGCTTCTCCGATCACCTGCGTGAACTCGATTTCTCCCTCGATCAGTGACTTCGACGTTCATTGTTTAGCTAATAGTTAATAATAAAATTGAAGTGCCTGGATCGTGATATCGTAGGTCCCCTCACAACCAAATATTCTACAATTGAAGCGCATGCGCATATCGGGGTGCCCGTAGAGCTTGGCAATCGCCCGAGTCTAAAGTCGCTCAGCCGTTAAAAGGACCTACACTTTACGAGGTGAATTCGCTTCGCGTGAATTAGCACTTATCACTCGTTAAAAGTAAATGATTTTAACCAGCGTTCGAATCAAATCAATGCAAGCGATCGTGTTAAGAATTTAATAAAAAAGTAATTTGTTAATAGCTTTTCATCGGATAACTTGAATTGACTGAGACTTTTCTTTTGCATAATGGTATTCATTTTTACTATCATTTTATGTTCCACAAATGTTTTAGCCTTCTCCAGAGCTAGTAAACCAGTAAACATTTGCATAGTTCAGTGTTTTTCATTATTTTACAAAATATAAAATAAAATGAACTTTGGTACAGAAATCTAGGATTTAAAAAATTTTTCTTCGATTTTAGATTTCACAAAAGTGTAGTTTTTAGTGGATTTAGTTATATGTGCTGTGAGAAACATACACATATCGTAATATTATAATGTATCCTTTTCGGAGAGATCAGGATTTTATAGACCCGATGACTTCGTGCTCGAGAAGTGAGATGCGTGTAAAACCGATTCAGTTTCCGTTGACGAGTCGACAGCCTTGTCACAACGCCTCGGGAATGCCTCAATCGATTCAACTTTTGGTTTTTACGAGAGCGATGCTTGCACGTAGACTCTTCGTGACTCGCATAGCATCCCGACACTAATGGCCAAGAACTGGGCTTCTGCCTTTCGAAAATCTCAGCGTCAATCAGTGACAGCGAGATTGCGATTTTCCATACGGTATCAGTCTTATCCATCCGACGGCATGTCATCGAACAGGGATAGCGTCAATGATCCTGGCGACGTTTCTGTTTAGCTGAGAGATGTTCAACGTAAAATTAGATTTGTACTCTAAATAAATTGATCCACATGATATCTTATTCTCATAATCCTTGTTTACAGATCTATCCATATATCCTATCCTATAATTATCTAACCTTATTAACGAGCTTGGCCCTATCTATAATTTTATTTTCCTTTCAATATTTAATCTTAATTATATTTATAATGTTTATTTCGCTAAACATTGTTTGAAAGTGTGATTTGATATTTCTCACGTGGAATTGTCCTTTCTTGTGATTTTCTTCATCCTCTACCATATATAATATGTTTATGTAATATGTTAATATAACATGGTAATATATTTGTGTCTTTTGCTACTTTTTTTTTATTTTGAATGGACCAGCGTGAACTTCAAAGAACTTATGTATCTGCTCATCTTGCGCGCTTGATACATTTTCCATTTTCAACATTATTTTTTCAGTGACATTGTAAATTTTGTGTATAATATTAGCATTTTTTCGGTTTGCTCGTTTAATTAACTTGTTGTGCACCTTTGTCTATGCTAAAAAAATTTTTGTTTTTTCGTATGTTATCTCATTTGTATTCTCTGTTTAATGTATTTTCTCATATTCTTGTCGGTTTTTTGTTAAAATGTAGTTGTGTTGGTATGTATCCGGTCGTATCATGTGTTTCATTAATAATTTGTATAATTATGTCTGTGTATCGTGCCTAACTTCTATGTGATTCTTTCAAATAATACCATAAAAATCTACTAATTTCTCTATGTATGCACTCGACAATATTCAATTGTGAATGACGAATTGACGAAAATATTGATTTAATTACTGATTTATTTAATGTTTTTTTTCATTTTTAAATGTGAATTGCTTACCATGATCAGACATTATCGCTGACGGTTTGCCAAATTTCAAAATATAATCTTTGAAAATTTTGTTATCTACGGAGATAGTATTCGCTTTATTAATTTTATATATTACAACATACTTTGAGAAGTCATAAATTGTTGAACAAACATATTTTACACCGCCCGTTGATGTGGCTAATGGACAGTAAAAGTCTATTGATAGAATTTCGTTTGGATTGTTACATAAAATTTGTTGTATCAACTCATCATATTGAACCGTTAACTATTTAATTCGTTGACAAATCATGCACGAATTTAATAGCTGTTTAATGCGCTTATATAATTCCGGCATGAAAAACATTTCTTGTATGATTATACATGTTTTAAATGAGTCAATATGCCCGTACGTATTATGCACATCTATAATAAAACCAGCAAATATATTTTTTGGAATTACTATTTTATTCATCGAATTTATTAGTTCACATAAAATATCGCTTTTTATTTTATAATTTATAACGATTGTTTCTTCATTATTTAGTATCCTATCTTTTATTTTATTACAATAATCATCATTATTTTGGTGATTTACTATTCCTTTTAGTAATTTAATTATTTCTTTGCTTAACTCTATCTTCGCTACTGCATTTATTAAGATATCAGTTTCTGTATTATTATCTACTTTCCGATATAT